TACTCTTCGTTTGAACATGGGGTTTTCTGACCATCCATTATTTAATATTGCTTATGGGGTTGAGGTTTACAGTTCTAATTTATGCCTCAATTTATTTGTATGGCTATATGTTTATTCATCTCAGCCCTAGCTTTGTTAACAAACTATTCACCACCCCCAATGCTGTATCCTGACTCTACCTCCTTAAATTGTTAGATGTTTGAACTATATGAGCTTTATGCTCTTTGGAGTGGAGGTTCTAGATGTTTGGGACACAGCAACTTTGGATGTTTGACATCTTGTACTAATTACATCAAGCTCTCTTGTCATGTTTTTAATGGTAACGTGTGGAGACTTTATTAAATTTTGAATGTGCATTTTCATGATGTTTCATTTACATGTGGTTTTCAATAATGCTAAACTTTTTTAGTCAAACTACCTGGGTGCCACTGTAGTACCTTACAGTATTTCCTTTAGGGGTTCTTCCCTAAACATTTTTCTAGTGTATACTTTTAGGTGCTGTGACCCGCACCAAATTGGTGAGTTAGTGGACTGAACCTAATGGTTACTAATTCTTTCCCCCTCATGTGGTGCTACTCTCCATCCAGCATCCAGGCTCTAAAAGGGGTCGTTCTGAATGGAAAAATATTGATGTTGCAATATGTTGCCAACTTGTTCATTCCATGCCTAGAAGATTTGGTGCTGTCCTTACAAATCATGGAGGTCATACAAAATACTACATGTAGTAGTTTTTGTTGTGGGGTGTATTCATTTTTGCATCAACTAATTTGAGTAAAACTGAAGATTTTGTAATCTATGTTATCATTAACCTTCCTTTCATGTAATGAGCAAAACAAATGTTCTATAAAACTCAGTTTTGTCAATATTTTGTAAATTGTTCTTGTGTTCATCGAGATATTGATTAAAAGCTTACTTTTCATGCTGAGCATTGTATATGCTTGTGTCATAGCCTACCAGTACTGTGCAGTTATTTTACGGGGTAACAGTCATGCCCCATGCCACTCTTCAACCTCCTAGCTCTAGATTACTTCTGGGCCCCACTCCAGCACAGGCAGATGTAGTTACATCTCTAATCCACCTGGAAATTTCCATCTCCTCTCACTCAGGAAAGTTACTGCTAGCACACCAGGTGCAACTCAATGCAAGATCACGAGTTAGGACAAATTAAAAAAAAAAAAGACATAGGATAAGTCCAGATCAATGAAACATCATCCAGAAAAAAAAGCAAGCTCCATTGTTATGGACTCATTAACTTAACTGAATTAATGTTTATGGGCCCCGCAATTGCTAACAGAAGACAACAGCCACACCATATCAAGAACTTTAAACATCACAGTATTCAAGTTGCAATTTTCAGTTAATGGGACCTTTTATCTTCTAAGGTTATTGTTATTCAAATTAGGATACTTATATTTATTTATGTCGTAGTATATATTTACATAATTTTCTGCATCCACCATTGCGGTGCTGGTGGCATAGAGGGAACTAAGTTAACAAGCCCCTTCCCCTTCTTACTGCTAGTATTGTATATAAATAGTTGAAGTTTACTGCCAATGAATGTATAATTTATTAAATGTTGCTAATTGATTAATCCTATTTAACCATTTTAATTTTTATGTATTAACTTGGGTTGTAGTGTATAACCTAAACCCATTATTCTTGTGGTCTACTGTTTTGAACAGGGTTGCCAACCGTCCCTAAATTTATAGATAGACCGCAAATTTCAACCCATTTACAGGCTGTCTGTAAATGCCCGTTACGGACAGAGGCCGTCCGTAAAAAAAATATGTCTGTGGACCAACATTGCTTCCCACCCTGCAGTCTGAACCCCAGCCTGCACCATGGCTGTAGTCTGTGGGGACTCCACTGTATCCTGTCCAGGGGCGGACTGACAACTCATGGGGCCCCCGGGTAATAGGGGATCAAGGGGCCCCTGTGTCCTTGCCCAAACTCTAAAAAGCCTATGAAAAAAGGTACCAGGGGCATCTCATGGGGCCCCCACTGACCCTGGGCCCTCGGGCAGTTCCCGAATTTCCAAATGGTCATGGTCCGCCCCTGATCCTGTCCACATCCTCTAACCATCTCCTGTGTGCTGTCCGCAGCTCTTAACCATCTCCTGTATCCTGTCCACAGCCTCTAACCATCTCCTGTGTGCTGTCCACAGCCTCTAACCATCGCCTGTAACATGTCCACAGCCTCTAACCATCTCCTGTATCCTGTCCACAGCCTCTAACCATCTCCTGTGTGCTGTCCACAGCCTCTAACCATCTCCTGTATCATGTCCACAGCCTCTAACCATCTCCTGTATCCTGTCCACAGCCTCTAACCATCTCCTGTATCATGTCCACAGCCTCTAACCATCTCCTGTATGCTGTCCACAGCCTTTAACCTCCCTAGCAGTATGATTATGTTCATATTTCTGTGCTCAAAGCGGTACATTTTTTTTGCATGGAAATATGTATTTTTTTTTATTGTAGGCTGTAATTTTTAGGAATAACTCATTGAAATCTGTCCGAACAAGAGTCTAGTAAACATCCCAGGTAGGATAAAACTTGAAACACGAAATCATAAATTATAATTTAATAAATAATCATAAAAAATAATAATATAATAATAATAAATTTCCCCTTTACATCAGAGTCTCCAGGATTCCCTCTTACAGTGCAAGGGGGAACTCTGCGGACTCTCATGTAAAGGGCAATGCTGCAGACTCTGATGTTAGTGGGAACTCTGATGTAAAGGGAAACACAGTGGACTCTGATATAAGGTGGTCTTTGGGCACCAGAGCCCCCCTTTACATCAGAGTTCCCCTTTACACCAACGTCTGCAGTCCTTACATCATGATCTGCAGTGTTCCCCTTTACATCAGAGTTCCCCTTGCATTGTAAGGGGCATTCCTGCAGACTCTGATGTAAAGGGGTTATATTAACCTGACCATCATGTAAATAGAGAAATATAATTTGTGACATTTGTTATAACTTAAACACATTCTAATAGCACTAGCTACATGTTTGTAGCCTAAATATTGATATGTGCACTGTTTTGCACTTAAAAAGGCCACTTTTGTGATGTGTCAATAAAAAATGTGGCTCTGTCAATCAATTTCATGATTTTTTGTCAGTAAAATAATTGGTGCTGTTTGTGAATTTAGGGCATCCTGTCAGAAAATTTCACATCGGGGGGATTGGCAACACTGCTTTTGAATACAAAGGTGTTACTAAGAATTGTGTCTCTTGCATTATTACCCAATACCAGGGGTCTCCACACTTTCTAAACAAAGGGTCAGTTTACAGTCCTTCAGACTTTAGGGGGGCCGGATTGTGGCCAGTGGGGGTATAAAATGTCCTGGGTCCCAGCATCAGTGAGATGAAACTTTGCCTTAGGTTTAGTAGTTATTTACATGGTGTCTGAGGTCAGTAGGAGGAGGAATAGTGGCCCATAATTGGTATTACTGGGAAGAACAGTACCCCACCAGAAGAAATAATGTGTTATCGTTGGTGTCAGTGGGAGGAATAGTGCCCCATCATTAGTGTCAATGGCAGGAATTATTTCCCACTGTGGGTATCAGTGGAAGGAATAGTGCCTCAAGGGCAACTGACACCATTGAAATTTTTGGCTTCCTGCAAGTGTGTGATTCTTCCCAATGACCACAAGTGTAAGGAGCGTTTTTCTCACTGACCATCAAACTAATGTATTAGGAGTTGTAGATTAGACATGTGCAGTTCTTTTCATTCGGAACAGAAATTTGGACAAATTTTCAGTTATTCGGAAATTCAGATATATCTGAATTCCAAATTACAATAGTAATGCATTTAAACACATCTGAAATAATGAAACGAAATTTGTCCGAAATTTGTATCGATTCAAATTTGAAAACACATTCAAAAACAAACTCAAATTCAAAAACAAATTTGAAAACCAGTTAGAGTTTGAAAACCAAGAATAGAATGAGCAGAACAGAAAATAAAGAAATAGAAAAGAATAGAATAGAAAATAAAAGAATGGAATATAGTTACATAGTTAGTCTGGCTGTAAAAAGACAAAAGTCCATCCAGTTCAACCATTAAAAAAAAGTTATAATCCTATACTCACAGTTGATCCAGAGGAAGGCAAAAAACCTCAGCAAAGCATGATCCAATTTGCTCCTACAGGGAAAAAAATTCCTTCCTGATCCCCTGAGAGGCAATTGGATATTCCCTGGATCAACTTTACCTATGAATGTTAGTATCCAGTTATATTCTGTGTATCTAAGAAAGAAACCAGGCCTTTTTTCAAAGCAATCCACTGAGCTGGCCAGAACCAACTCTTGAGGGAGTCTATTCCACATTTTCACAGCTCTTACTGTGAAGAAACCTTTCCGTGTTTGGAGATTACATTTCTTTTTCTCCAGATGTAAAGAGTGCCTCCTTGTCCTCTGTGATGACCTCAAGGTGGATAGCTCTACACCGAGTTCACTATATGAACCACTGATGTATTTATACATGGTGATCATAGGTTGCCCTTCTCTGTACTTTCTCCTGTTCCCCAATGTATTTTTGTGAATTGGTGCCCAAAACTGAACTGCATATTCCAGATGAGGTCTTACTAATGATTTGTACACTCTCTCTGGAGTCTATACCTCTTTTAACCACCTTCCGCCCACCATATAGTACATTGACGGGCGCAAGGTGGTTCTCTCGTTCTAATAGGACGTCATATGACGTCCTCCCATTCTCACTGCGCATGCGCGACTCAGGGAGCGCGCGCCAATCGCCGGTGCGCTGTGTCCCTCGGACACAGCGGATCACGGAAAGAGCCGAAGATGTTGGCTCGCTCATGTGATCAGCTGTGTCCAATCCCAGCTGATCATATGTAAACACGGAAATGCCGGTTATTGGCATTTCTCTCCTCTCAAGCTGTCACGCTGACAGCTCGAGAGGAGAGGAAAGCCGGTAATCGGCTTTCCGCGGAGGGGACATGTACACTGATCATCAGGGCACTGATGCTCAGTGTGCCCTGATGATCAGTGTGGCCCCAGAAGTGCCACCTGTCAGTGTCCATCAGTGCCAGCAGTCAGTGCTCATCAGTGCCACGTGCCAGTGCCCATCAGTGCCACATCAATGCCATGTATCAGTGCATACCAGTGCACATCAATGCCACATATCAGTGCCCATCTGAGCTGCCTTTCAATGTCACCCATCAGTGCCAGTCAGTGCCACCTATCAATGCCAATCAGTGCCACCTGTCAGTGCTGCCAATCAGTGCCAGTCAGTGTTGCCTATCAGTGCGAATCAGTGCCGCCTATCAGTGCCAGTCAGTGCCGCCTATCAGTGCCAGTCAGTGCTGCCTAACAGTGCCGCCTATCAGTGCCAGTCAGTGCTGCCTATCAGTGCTGCCTATCCGTGCCATATATCAGTGTCATGTATCAGTGCTGCCTTTCGGTGCCCATCAGTGATACCTGTCAATGCCTATTAGTGCAACCTACCAGTGCCTCCTCATCAGTGCCCATCAGTGCCACCTATCAGTGTCCATCAGTGAAGCCTATCAGTGCCCATCAGTGCAGCCTCATTAGTGCACATCAGTGAAGGAGAAAAATCACTTATTTACAAAATTGTATAACAAAAACTAAGAAAAAACATTTTTTTCAACATTTTCAGTGGTTTTTGGTTTGTTAAAAAAAAAAAAAAAATCCCAGAGGTGATTAAATACCACCAAAAGAAAGCTCTATCTGTCTAAAAAAAAAGATAAAACATTTCATATGGGTACAGTGTTGCATGACCGCACAATTGTCATTCAAAGTGTGACAGTGCTGAAAGCTGGAAATTTGCCTGAGCAGGAAGGGGGTATAAGTGCCCTGTAGGCTAGTGGTTAACACAAGAGAGGATTTTGCTCGCTTTAGAAGCCGCAGCTTGGCATTGCTGCCATTATTAAGCTTGTGATCTACCAGAACCCCCAGATCCTTCTCCACCATTGATTCCCCCAGTTGTACCCCCCCCCAGTATGTATGATGCATGCATATTCTTAGCCCCCAAGTGCAGAACCTTACATTTATCAACATTAACCACTTGCCTACAGTGCCCTGATGATCGGTGCTGATCCCGCTCTAACAACTGCCGGTTCTCGGCAGTACTTTCCTCACGATCTGACAGCGTGAGGAAAGTGCAGCCGAGAACTGGCAATTGCATTTCCCGGTGATCAGCGTGTCATTGGACACGGCTGATCACGTGGTAAAAAGCTGCTGTGATTGGCCTTTTACCACATCACGTGATTAGCTGTGTCCATAGGACACAGCGATCAAGGAGATCGACCGGGTGCGTGCCCCCAGGGGCGCACAGGAGAGCGCGTTCTTGGAGGACGTCATTTGACGCCCACCCAGAACTGGCCGGCCGCAGTGCAGCCGTCATTCGGCTATCTGCGGTCGGCAAGTAGTTAAACCTCATTTGCCACATAGTTGCCCAATTAAACAGTGCATTGAGGTCGGTTTGTAAGCTGGAGACATCCTGTAAGGACGTTATTCCACTGCACAGATTGGTGTCATCTGCAAAGACTGAAATGGGATTTTTAATCCCAGACCCTATATCGTTCATACATATATTAAATATTAAGGGTCCCAACACTGAACCTTGGGGTACACCACTGACAACCCTAGACCATTCAGAGTATGAATCATTAACCACTGCTCTTTAAATACGATCTTTAGGCAGTTTCTATCCATTTACATACGGATTTTACCAAGCCTGTAGACTTTACCTTACACATTAGCCGTGTGTGGGGAACTGTGTCAAACGTTTTTGCAAAATCCAAGTATACCACATCCACCGCCACCCCTCTGTCCAAGTATACCATGTCCACCGCCACCCCTCTGTCCAAGTATACTACGTCCACCGCCACCCCTCTTTCCAAGTATGCTACGTCCACCACCACCCCTCTGTCCAAGTATACCACGTCCACCGCCACCCCCTCTGTCCAAGTATACTACGTCCACCCGCCACCCCTCTGTCCAAGTATACCACTAGAGATGAGCGAATCGAACCAGGCGAACCGGAATTCGATACGAATTTCAGGAAAAATTCGATTCGCGGCGAATCCGAATATTTGCCTACTTCGGGTGCGCGAATCGGATTTTTCCCGATCAGGCGGCAAAAGTGTCCCTGCAGAGAGCTCCGCTATTTCTGACAGTTCTCTGACAGAAGGAACACATGTACAGCGGTTGAAACATTGTATCTAGAGATGAGCGAATTTTTCAAAAATTCGATTCGGCTGATTCGGCAAATTCCAGGAAGAAATTCGATTCGATGCGAATGAGAAGAAGGAGAGAAGGATGAGAAATGGAGAAGGAGAAGGATGAGAAGAAGGATGAGAAGAAGGATGAGAAGAAGGAGAAGGATGAGAAGAAGGACAGTTCTGTGACAGTTACTGTCTATTTCTGACAGTTTAGTGTGACATTCACTCCATCGTACAGCGGTTTCAACCGCTGTATGGAGGAATGTCCCAGAACTGTCAGAAATAGTCTATTTCTGAAGTTCTGGGACATGTTGGAGTGAATGTCCCGAGAAAGGTCCTGAGAAAGTCTAATTCTGAAAGTTCTGAGAAGGATGAGACGTCCATACAGCGAGAAGACAAAGATTGAGCGGAGCCTTTAGGTTTCCATTAAAATGAGAGGCCCTGCAGAACACAAGGGTGAGGAGCTGTGAAGAAGTAGAAGGTGAAGAGAGCTTGGAATTATTCGGTTATTTTCATCCTACTTCTTCTTTCTTCTTTCTTCAGTATCATTTTCTAGATTCATACTTCTCCTCATCCTCAGAAGAAGAAGGAGAGGATGAAGCAGATAAGAAGAAGGTAAGTAGGATGAAAATAAGGAGTAATTCCAAGCCGGCAAAAAGTGATCTGCTTGAGCTTCCTCCTAGTGTATGCAGCAGAGCTCCTCTAAAGTGGATCTGAAGAATTAGAAGGATGACTCTGCAGGAGATAGACGTTGTTGAAGGAGAAGGAGAAGGATCCGTCCTATTTTTATCCGAACTTCTTCTCTTCTTCATCTTCATCCTCATTTCTCATCTCTTCTTCTTCTGAGGAGATGGATGAAGGATGAAGGATGAAGAAGAAAGGAGAAGGATGAATAAGAAGGAGTAATTCCAAGCCGGCTAAAAGAAGTATTCTGCAGAAGCTCCTCTAAAGAAGGAAGTGCAGAGCTCCTGAAAGAAGGATCTGCCCGAATTAAAGAGGAATCTGCAGGGTACACTTTTTGCCAGAGCTTGAGAAAAAGGAGAAGGATGAGAAGAAGAAGAAGGATGGATCCTTTCCTCTTCTTCCTGTTCTTTGAAGGCACGTTGAGGTTGAGAAGAAGAAGAAGATGAGTAGGAATGAAGAAGGATGAGAAGCAGGAGAATCCAAGCCGGCATAAAAGTGTATCTGCATAGCTCCCTCTAAGTCTATGTGCAGAGCTCGTGCTAAGTACAATCTGCAGAATAGAGCAACTCGCAGATACACTTTTTTCCGGCTTGGAATTCTTCTTAATTTCATCCTACTTCTTCTTCCCTCTTTCACCTCATCCTCATCCGCTTCTTTCTTCTTCTAGGATGAGGATGAAAGAAAAAGAAAAAGGGAGAAGAAGGAAAAAGGAAAAAGGATGAGAAGAAGGATGAAAGAAGGAGAAGGATGAGAAAAAGGGACATTTCCCCTGTGACAGTTTCTGCTTTTCTGACAGTTTTTGTGACTTTCCACCCAAACCCAGCGGTTTCAACCGCTGTTTTGAGGGAATGCCCAACGTCAGAAAAGCCCTATTTCTGACAGTTCGGGGACATGTATGGAGTGAATGTCCCAAACTGTCAAAAATATCTATTTCTGACGTTCTGGGACATTCACTTTCCATACAGGGTTTTTTAAAAACCCGCTGTATAGGAATTCCAAAAACGCATAAATAGTCCATTTTTGCGCTGGAATTTTTCATCCATCCT